TGTCTATATGTGTTAGATTTCATAGGTCTCTGTTCTCTTAAATGAGGAATTAATCACGAAATAGTTAAAATAATCCTCTGGATTTCTATTTTGATTCAGTTTGAGCTTTTATATCATCAGGATAACAATATTTAAGGTGTTACAGTACTGTGTGGATGTTTTGACATCCTCACAATTCTAATGCTTCAGTATCATGTATAATGAATGCTTTGTTTCTTAGGAACTTCCATTAATATCTCTTACAACTGCGTTAAATAAGTGTTATGCTTTGAATTCACATAATGCATAATCATTTTACTTAACTAGCTTCACACTCAGCCAGAGGGTCGTGAACTACTTGACTGTTGACTGGATGTCACAGTCAAAAGTGACAAAAATGACAGACACCACCATTAGAAGCAGTGTTGACAGCAAGTAATACTGTTGGCATGGGGAGTGATCGTCTCCATGTCGGGCTGCTTGCCAGTCTGAAGTCATTAATGGTGCTTGTACTCAGGATGGCTACTCTAATGGTCTTCTCTTAGGGTCTACATTATGGTAAGTCCTATTGCTGTAATTCCAGGCCTCCTACCAGGCCTCCTGACTGGCAGGACTTGGAAGGTAGTACAAAGATACATTTTGGCTTCAAATGTTACTGTCTTTTTAAAATAAATGCTTTAATAATAAAACCCACTTTTACTTTCATTATCACTGTTACAGTTTTCTTAGGTGAACGAAGTATATTTTAGGGGAACCTTAACTGCCTGTCAGAGCTTTCATCTTTTTGAAGTTACATCAAATAAAGCACATACCACTTCTGAAACCACGTGTAGACAGATCTCTGTTTCTGCTTCTAGTATAACATGACAGGCAATGCAAGGAAAACTCAGTGTGTCAGAACTCTTAACTCTGCAGGTGGTTTGGGGTGAGATTCTTCTCATCTACATTTGCTTGTCATCTGAACTTTTTTTCTACTCAAAAGGTACTTTCAGAGGACATGTATACTGAGAAAAACATCTGCAGTAGGTTGAATGGTAATCCTTTGTACCTTCTTTCTTTTCACCATTGTTGAGAGACTGTGAGTGACTAGTTACTTGGTTTTAGAAAACAAAATTATTTCAGAACTACCGAATTGTGATTTCTCCTCCAAGCCGTAGGGCTTTAAGAGACTTAGTCTTGCATGTTAGCATTGAATAGCTCCTACATTTATGTAGCTCCTTCACTTGCTTATTTCTTATTGCAAGAGCTATTGGAAAGATCATTAGAAGTAGGGAAAACTCTTGATCAAGAGTTGAGTCTTTGGGTGGAGGAACCCTACTTCTTTATTCCAAGTAAAGAAACTAGGTGACAGCAGAAACCTCCCAGTAGCTAATTTTGTGGTTTAATTAGAGCACACTCAGATGATCTAAAATAAGGTGGCTGTTTAACTAAGGGAAACTGTCTGCTAGGGGAATCTCATTATTTGAGCCTGTTGAAAAGGAAGAATTGGTCCAACTTCAGAGGTTTCCTGAGCCATGCAACCTCCACACAGTTCCCTCTGTTCTCCAGAGCAGTGGCTTGCCTTTAATTTCTCTCTGGCAGCTTTTCAAGTTAGAGTTCTTCAGTGTCCTCACTTTCTGCTGGTCCATGGCAGGAGCTGCAGGTGCCAAGGAGCTCTGAAGAGTGAAGCAGTGTCTCATCTGGCCCCAGGGAAGAAATCAGGGCACTGCAATGGGATGCCCCTATTACTGTTCTTCAATTGCATCATTTCTGGGTTAAGCATATACAAGGTAGGTATGCAGTAAACTAAGAACAAAATAATTCTGCCATCTGTTATGAGAAGTAGGATAACATAAGAATTCATAATAGCTTTAAAAATATAGCACAGTTTGGAGAGAAAGCAGGTGAATGCTTATGTAACATAGCTTGCCATGGAAAAAATAAGTTGGACATTTTTGATGTGTTAATGTTTCTGAAGCTTCTTAAATATCATTGGTGAAATTTACCCTGATACCATTTCAAAGAGTCACTGTCATTGTAGAGCTAGGTAAGGCTCTGTCAGTGCCCACCTTCCAGAATAGGTGGATGAATACAACTTACATGGTTTACACCATATCTTTATTGATACCCTCTTTTCTTTCTTTGATTAGTGCTTTTAATTAATCTTTTTGTTTATGGTGGAGTTGCTTCTGTTTTAGCTGACTTCACCCCCTGTAGGAGCCATTCTGGCCAGTCGTGCAGAAAACCATGTCTATGATAAGAAGCTTGAGGAATCACGAACAGGCATAATTTATACAGAGTTTTTGAATTATATAGGATATGCAAATGAAATGGCCATGGGACAAGGATTTTTTTTAACGAGACTTAGTACAGAGTCGACTCTGAGGTGAGGATCAAGCATGTGATCTGCAGTGGTGCGGTAATAGACCTCTTGAGGTTTTGGTCAAATGTTTACTTATGATAGGTTTGGTCATCTTTTAGAAGGTTTCAAAGAGCCCAAGGTATTTATGAGCAGTGTAGTAGCTGAAAAGATGGCTGTTCACCAAAGTCTTCTACAGTCCTTTTTTTTTTTACAGAACAAGGATTTTTATTTTTCTTTACTTTTTTTGTGTGTGTGTGTGGAAAGGCATATTGCAGAACTCTCAAGTTCTTTGAGTTCCTTCTGAACAAAACACAAATTGTAGCAAAGAATAACTTCTAGAAGGTTTCCTTAGCTAAAGTGTTCAGTTAAATAGTGTGGGTTCACAGAGAATGACAAAAAACATTTGCTTTTCAGGAGTGAAAGCTGTTCTTCACAACACAGTAGTTTTCTGTGGGATTTGCCTTTCAAGTCTGATATTTTTCTGGAATTCAAGCCATGCTTTTACAGTAGGCAAGAGCAGGATGAGAAGAATTCTTGATCTTAAGGCATTGCATTAATACAAATTAATGTGGAAATTGGTTCCTTTGTATTACAGCATAATTTCAAAATCAGTGGCTTATGGAATGTACTTAATAAATAATGTCTGTCTAGTTGAATAGATTTAATTGTGCTTCACTGAGAAGGATGTGACACTCTTTGAGGATTTCTTTCTTATTGATAACATTTGTATTTAGAAATATATATATGCAAAAAAATTTACAGTAATATCCCAAACTGTGAACCAAAAATTAAGAACATGAATGTAGAAAAAACTATTCATACAGTACCTCAGATGGGTTATTTCTTTCATTATGATAATGAGGTGCATCTTTTTAATGAATTAAAAACCATTTTGAGAAAAACAGGTGGTGCTAAAGTTAGGGCTGAGTCAAGAGGCATCATACTTGCAAATGAGGGAAGTGATGATAAGTAACACAGTGTGCTGTTGGTAAGAATTGTTGACCCAATCTGCTCTGTGCTGTTCAAATCATCCATTAGATCTTCAAACAACAGCATGTGTCTTATAAAGCATAAACTGTTTCTTGCTTGTTAACTGTCTGGGAATTTGAAGAATTAAGAGTTTAATTGGAAAATCCGAGACTGATGCCATCCTTGTGATTTCAAGGAGAGGCTTTTTCAGTCCACTCAAATAGAAAGGATTTATTTCTCACCCTGGATGGAGGTGGATTGTTTTGCGTGGGTGGTTTGGGCTGGATAAGGGGTGGTTACAGAGGTGCCACACTGGCCTTCGCTTCTGCCAGTTCCAGCAGTTGGCTGGAAGGAGGAACAGGCAGTTTATGCAGTGGGGGACCTGTGGTGGGAACGCAGTGCTTGAGCCGTGTGTAGCCCTCCCTTGGTTTTGCTTGTACATCAGCACAGTTTCATTGCAAAGTGTGGAAGGGAAGCCGGAGTGTCAGTGTTGATCAGTGTTGCCTCTCAGCCTCTGCAGTCCTGTACTGTCAGTTTTCTAATAGAAGGACACACAATGTGAAAGATATATATATCAATGACTATAGGCCAGTCAGCTTCGCCTCCAACAGTGCAAAGGTTATGGAGTAGTTAATCCTGGAAACAATTTTCAAAGAAATGTAAAACAGGAACATGATCATAAGTAGTCACCACACATTTAAGCATGCCTAACCAACCTCATAACACACGACAGTGGGATGACTAGATTGGTGGATAAGGGGAGGGCGGTGGCTGTTTTTTACCTTGACTTCAGCAAGGCTTTTGACACTGTGTCCCTCATAGACAACCTGACAAGGTGGGGTTAGATAAGTGGGTAGTGAGGTGGAATGAAAACACGTTGAATGATGAGGCCCGTAGGGTGGTGGTCAGTGGCACAAAGTCCAGTTGGAGGCAAGCTACTAGTGATGTACCCCATGGGTCAATACTAGGTCCAGTACTGTTTAACCTCGTCACTAATGAGCTGTGGGACAGAGTGAACTGTCAGCATATTCACAGGTGACAAAACTGGGAGGAATGGCTGATACATGAGATGGGTGTGCTGCCATTCAGAAGGATGTAGACAGGCTGGAGAACAATGCAGACAGGAGTCTCATGAGGTTCAGCAAAGGGATATCCAAAGTCCTGCATCTAGGGGAGAGGAGTAACTGCAGATACCAGTACAGGCTAGGGACCAAGCATCTAGAAAGCAACTTTGGAGAAAAGGACCTGGAGGTCCTGGTGGACAAGAAATTGTATGTAAGCTAGCAATGCATTCTGAAGGCAAACGTGGAACATGGCCAACAGCATCCTGGAGCATTAGGATGAAGCATGAGGAGAAGTGTTGCCAGAGGGGAGGTGATCTTTCCCCTCTACTAAGCACTGGTGAGGCCACTTCTGGAGTGCTGTGTCTAGTTTCTGGGCTCCCCTCTGCAAGAGACGTATAAACACACTGGATAGAGTCCAGCAGAAGACCATAAAGATGATGAAAGGACTGGGACATCTCTAATGAGAACAGGCTGAGAGAGCATGGTCTGTTCAGCTTGGAGAAGTGAAGGCTCAGAGAGAATCTTACTAATCTCTATAAATACCTGATGGTGGGCATTGAAGATGATGGAGCCAGACTCTCTGAGCTGAGTGATGTGAGAAGAGGCAGTGGGCACAAATTACAAACAATGAAACTCCATCTGGACACATGGAAACACTTTTTTACTGGCAGGGTGGTCAAACTCTGAAACATGTTGCCAGGGGAGATTGTGGAGACTTCATCCTTCGAGATATTAAAAACCTGAGTGAATGTGGTCCTGGGAAACCTGCTGTAGCTGACCCTGCTGGAACAGCAAGGTTGGTCAAGGTGATCTCAAGATGTCCCTACCAACCTAAATGATTAGGCGTGTGAACCAGGCTTTGTACACATACTGTTGAAACTATACATTCAAGAGATAGAGAACTAAAAGAAGGAAAGGAGAATACTGGAGATTTTATCTCCAAAAGCATTTTGAATTTGCCATTTGGTAAAATGGAGACTTTGAAGCTGTCTTCTTTTCCTCCCATGCACTCCTGAAGTATTTTCCCTATTCTTGCATGTATTTTCTCTGTCATGGTTTTTTTTTTTTTTTCCTGCAACTGCTGGTGCAGCCACTCTTTCTCTGGACCTGAGCATTTTTAACATGCTTTTTGATTCTCAGCACCTGAACAGTGTTACTGTAGTAAGCTGGAAGGGCCAGTTGTGACTCTGGCCTGCCCTTCTTACTCAGTCCTTTTTGCCTGGTCTTGAGTTCTCCCACTCTGTGATGGGAGTCCTCACAGGATTGAAGGAAGGTATCTTCAGGATGACATAGGGAAGAGTAAAGTAAGGCTGGAACGTAGTGCCTTGACAGACAAATGGACTTATAAGAAGGGGAAATGTAATTAGTGGAATTTATTAATTCCATACACGAAGGAGGCAGATACGGTGGAGATGTAGCAAGGTAGAGCTGTGGGATGTTTGTATCTGCATAACATCAGTGTATGTAATTTTATGCAAGTTTTCTCTCAGACTTTGCAATGCTTTTCTAAGAGTAGGTATATCCTGCAGCCCTGCTAAGAATAGGCAGGGAATCTTAAGAAAACCCCTGAATTCATGATTTTAAAAAAAAGGTGGGAAGGGAAGTGGAAAAATTAAATAGAAAGTAGAAAACTGTACCAGAAGAAGTGATAGGGAAGAAACAGCACAACTGAAAATCAAAAGGATGATTAATGAAGGAAGACGAAGGCAGTAGTTGTATGAAACGTGGGAAAGAACTAGAAACATGCATCTGCCATCTCTGTCTGTGGGCGAATCATGTTGAAAACTACTCAACTATTTGCCAGTTATGTGACTGTTGTTCCTCACTAGAGACATTTTCTGGAAAAGATTTGCGATTCCAAACATTTTAGAAAGTGTATTGAAAGGCTGTTATGCTTTGAAAAAAAGAATTAAAAAAAGTGGTGTCAAAGTTTCCTGATTTATCTCAGTTGATGAAGGTTAGACAGCTTTGAATGTGTGATCTAGGTTTACTTAATACCTGCAAAACTAATGCAGTAATTCACAAGAAATTATTTTTTAGATATTTACTTGCACTACAATGTTCCATTCCACTTGGGTGCTGGAAAATGTTGATTTTCCCTGGGGAGAGGCTGCTTTAATGAGGTGAGATGATTAGCCTTTTATATGAAAAAAAATCCAAAGTACGTCTCTAAGTCTGTCTCTTTTACCATTTTTCTGTTAGTAACAATATTAATACTGAGAAGCTGGTGTTTAGCCCTTTAATACATGAAGTCACCTGGATAGAGTAATGTTGCTTTTCCCAGTGAAACCACATTAAATTTGGTGCATTTTTTCTTTAAAAATACTCTTAATAAGCTGTGTATTGATGTTAGCTTTAAATGAGATTTTTACTTTTACTTCTGCTTTCAGATGTGACAAATTGCCAAATTATGTTATCATGAGTGTAATGATGTCATGAACATTTTTCTAGGTTCCACAGAGGAGTTGTTTTTTTTTTTTTTTGTTTTTAGTGAGCTTATGTAGATCTTTGCTACAGGAAAACATTTAAATCCTTAAGGAGAGTTTAATCTCTTAAAACAACTGTGTAAGTCTAGTGTGATGGCATGTCACTGCTGTCATCCACTTGTATTTCTTGTCACCAGTTTATCTTATCATCATGTGTTTTCTCATCATCAATACAGTTGATGCAGTGTGTGACCTATAGCGAGGTGCTAAATTCTTCTGTGCAGAGTTGAGAAAAGTGAAAACTAAGTGGAACACTTCTCTTCTGGCTGGTATTATTGCTGGAAATATTTTGATGCCTTCAGAGAGAAGATGCTTGAGAAAAGTGTAACATAAGAATGCCAGTAGCATCCTGGCTTGTATCAGCACTAGTGTGGCCAGCAGGGACTAGCGAAGTGATCATTCCCTTCCACCTGGCACTGATGAGGCTGCACCTCGAATAATGGGTTCTGTTTCAGGCCCCTCACTACAAGAAGGACATTGAGGTTCTGAAACCTGTCCAAAGAAGGGCAACAAAGCTGGTGAAGGGTGTAAAGAAGAAGTCTTATGAGGAGTCTTATGAGAGTATCAGTCTCTTCTCCCAAGTAACAAGTGATAGGACAAGAGGAAATGGTCTCAAGTTGCACCAGGAGAATTTTAGATTGGATATTAGGAAATGTTTTTCTTTTACTAAAAGGGTTGTAAAGCACTGTAACAAGCTGGCAAGGGAAGTGGTTGAGTCACCATCCTTGGAGATATTTAAAAAACATGTAGATTTGGTGCTTAGGGACATGGTCTAGTGGTGGACTTAGTGCTATGTTAATAGTTGAACTCAATGATCTTAAAATTCTTTGCCAACCTAAGCGATTCTGTTACTCTGCGGTGTAATATTTATTTCCACTAGCATCACTTTTATTTTTTGGGAGCACTGCAAGTCTCCTAGAATTCATTTTACAGGAGAAAAAAAACACCTAAATCAATTCTCTACTTCTTGCAACTGCTTCTCTGTCATTTTTTTTCATCTCTTCCCATCCTGCTTTTAAAATCAGGCTTCTAAGAAGTCTTTTAAAAATCAGCCACTGTAGGACATGTTCATTATATCTGCTCTTCTTCTTGCTCATTGAGCCTTGAGCTAGATGATTGAAGTTGGGACAGCAGTTGCAAGCAATTGAATTGATGACTTGGAAGAAAAGCTAGCAGGTGAATTCAGCAGGGTGTCCGTTTTACCGTGTAGTTCCTTGATTACCAAGAAAACAGTGCATCACATTTCTGCACATAGTTGGTTCATGTAGTAACACAATCCCCATCTCTAGCCTATAAACAAGCAATAAATCTAGAGCTGCAAGTGGGTGGGGAGTGGAAGTGGGTGGACTCTGTTGTGCTCCTCAGGAATTTGGTGTACAAGCTAGGAAGGTGATGCAGGAGGTGATGTTGGTGGTTTGGCTGCATGTATGGTATTGACTATTCAGTCTCCAGAAAATTATCAATTGTGTAATACTTGGAAAATAAAATGCAAAGTAAGCTGTTGTTTTCCAGCCTGCTTTTTGACCCATCGACCTATATAAATAATTCTGGATAGAGTTAATAATGTAGATGTTTAGTGTTTGAAAGAAGGAGATGTTTGCTGTGAATTAAAAAAATCTTAAGTACTTTTGGCAAAATAAGATGTTCATACAAGTGAATATTTTGTTATTTTCGGACCAAAAAAAAGGAGTTACTTGTGTTTATAAACAAAAGGTTGTGTTTGCCAGCAATACTCTTACGTAAGTAGGCATAGGTATTCTGTGTATGGAATCAGATTTTTGTTTTTTTAAGTTTCTCCTTTATTAGTAAAGGTAATAGGAAAAGTTACAAAAGACTTTACATCTTTCCAGTACAGTTTGTGTGTTGTTATAACGTACAACTCTAGGCATTTCTGTTTCTGTGCTTTTGCTCTGTGCATACATTTGTAGAGCCAGTTCTGTTTACAGACAATGAAATGAAGAAGCGATGGATGTATACAAGTAGCATCAGTGCTGTGATGAAGTGCTCTTAAAATAAGTATGCGCAAGTAGAAGTATCTGGAGATATGAAATATTTAGAGGGTTGAATTAATGACCGAGAAGGATGGTTTGATGTTTTGAAAGTTTCTTTTAAAAAGATTAATCAATTATGGATTAATATAAAGCTGTTTGATTAGCTGGTGGCAGTGGGTGTTGTCTCTGTGACAATAAGGGGAAGAGTTGGTGTGAGGCAGCTGTGAGCCAGAGGTATGACCGAAGGGCAGCGTGGTTGGGCCAACCTGGCCTGGGGCTGGGGCACAGGGCTTGCATCTCCTTGGCTGGATGGTCATTCAGAGGCCTGCTGCAGCCCGGGGCGGGGCTCTCCTGGGACTGGGGTGGATTACTCATAGAATAGAAGAATCATTATGGTTGGGAATGACCTCTAGGATCAGCAAGTCCAACTTTCATCTGAACTTTTCCCTAACCACTAGACCATAGCCTCAAGTGCCGGCAGCCTGGACATGGCTGGTGCTGGGATTTCTCCAGGCTGATAGCAAGGAGGTGTTTTCCCACTAGCTCGTGAAGCTGCTGGCTCCTCCTTCATGGTGACTTCTGCAATGCACTGTGCATGTAGAGCTAGAATTGTGTGTTGCGATTTAAAAGTAGCTTCTATTAGACAGATTTTGTAAACATAGATTATAGAGGAAGTAAAAATCATTATAAAAAAAGATCTGAAATGTAAGACATTCTGACATGCGTTTCAAAATTCAAGGATGTTTCTGCAACTTCAGATGAAACCCTGTCTCTCCCCCGCTTCATTGTATAATACTTCCTTAGCTGAAAGAAAGTTTCCATGTGTTTCTCTGCATGTGTGTGTGTATATATAGCCAGTTAATGGGCTGTACAAATAAGGATTGTGCTTCTTGCCTAAATGATGCATCTTGATGATACTGCTGTGGAGCATATCCGTTGTCTGATATCAGAGCTGAGCTCTGGAGGATGGATGCTCATTTTGGTGAAATCTCAGCTGCTTTTTCTTTTTTTGGACGTTTTTTCTCCTCATGGCAGATCTTGAATCACACGATTTCAGTCATAAAAATCACGAAGTCAGTGTTAATGTGGGTATCTCCCACATGAATCTGAAAATGGTTTCCCTCTTCGGTTTCTATGTTTAAGACTGGTCCCAGTGAATGGTCTAAATATAAGGCCAAGGATCACAGAGCTCTGTGTTAGAGGTATCACTTAAAGCACCTCTAAAGTTTTTATCTTTCTAGGGTGTGTATATAACACTAAAGTATAAATTTTCTGGATGAGATTTTTAAACCGAAAAGGATATTGTTTCTTTAGTTTCC